CTTTCTTCATATATGAACTTGGGCATGTGAGCGTGAGACTGTAGGACAAAGCACTCTGAAACTAGTCCTGAGTTATTTGGCTAGCTTTAATTAAAGTGGGAATTTTGAATTTTTTCTTGGCTTGACCCGTTTTAAATTACTCGTAAAATATGCCTGAATTTCGACAAACATGCTTGTAAGAGCGAGTTCTTATATAATCTCATGCATGGTTTGGCACTTTGCCCAAATTCAAACTACTGTATCTCGAGTTGTTTACGCCCTGTGTTGTTTACGAGTGCTGGAATTGCAGAACACACCTGAATTTGACCCGGTCAGGTCACAGCATTACCCTACAACAAGCACTCACACATCACATTCTGCTGCGTTTTTATTGCACCCGTGATGCAAAAAATGCCATGCGTAAACAACACAGAACTAAGATGTGCAGCATTGCGACATTTTGGTGAAGTGACCCTGAATTTGAGGAAGCATCCTCATTTTTCTGAGGAAGTGCATAGCACCCTAGTTTACTAAGCACCGTCATACTTCGGATGCACTTGATGCAAGCTTTTAGATTTTAATGCTTTTTTTGCATGTATATAAATGGGAAAACACATTGTGACGACTCATGATGTTCATGTGTGTGTGTGTGTGTGTCTATTCAAGTATTTAAACTCGGCAACCAAGCAAGCTTCATCGCTAAAATTCTGCCAGTGGGTTCCCTGGTCAGGACCGCGAAACGACCATCACATGCGTCTAAGGCCGATTTGGCGGGAAAACCGCTGACTCGGGAACCAAAAAAGCTGGAAAACTGGAATTATGAAAGGATGTTCTTTGTCCAAATTCAGCCCCTACGTATGCATGGTGCTCACGCGTGGGCACTTAAATTTCTGGCGGGAAAGTTGCTCACTGAACACCCAGGGTATTTTCAAAAGAAGACCGTTAAGCGGAAATTATTCATTTTCCTTAATGCAAAATTTACGATGATTTACGCTACTGAGCACACAAGACAAGCGTAAAGCAGTAACCATTAGACAGCGAACTATCTGACTGCTTCAAGTTAATGCAAAAACGTATGATCATGCCGGCAAGTTTAGTGCGCTTCCCCTTGGAGTTTTTACGTCACTACTACCTGCAGCATGACACTGCTGGCACTGACTTGTAGTGCCAGTGGTACTATAAAGTACTGATTAATGCAAGAATGTACAATGACCTGATCGTAAAGTATGAAGGCAGCGGCTTGAGCCTTCGCCATTCGTGGTCGTTCCATGGTCCACATACGATAAACAAGCAGTAGGACGGAGACAAATGCGAATAAGCTGAACAGTGTCGGCAGAATGAGCATCAGAACAAATAGTCCACACTTCAATATATTTTTCTTGCTGACAGCGCTCGGTTCATCGAGATTAAATCCGGGGTAGCAAATTCAGGACGCTCAATGGTATTCTTGTCTCGGTATTCCTAGGAGGTCGGGGAAAGGGAGAGGAGTAGAAATTCGTGTAGGTGAATAAAAGTGAAGTAGAAGCACGCATACAGAAACAGTAATATATATATATATATATATATATGGACTGAAATTTGCTTCCGCCATCCTCATTCGCCGTTTACTCAAACGTTTTAGCACAAAAAAAAAAAA